CATTTTATTAAAAAAATAGACAAAACATTACAATGAGTATTGGTGATTAGTGATTAGTAAAAATTATCATCACAGCAGTTCGTGCAGATCCATAGGTGCTCCGATCTCCTCCTTAAAAGCTCCACAAATGTAAAATGTCTAATGACGCCTGTTTTGTGTTGGTTAATGAAACACCTTGTCCCCTTAGTAAAATGTTCATTAATTGCAACTCCAGGCTGCACTCTCCCATGTCCATCAGTCCAGACAGGGATACGGAGTCATGTCCTTTGGCGTGCTCCTCGGTACGGTAGTGCATGGTATTGAAAACTCAACTTCTGCCCAACACTAGATCAGCCATAGCAACCTCAGTATCAGCAAGATAATCTGCACTCTCGTTCCCTTAAACACCCGCATTTCATGTATGAGTATTGTCAAATGTTATGTAAACCAAACGGTAACGCACAGAAACCAAAACAGGTAACAAACATTTTAAAAGTTGAGCTATCCTCTAGATAAGCAGAGAAATAGATCGTATTTAAAGGAAATAAAAAAAGTCAGATATGGCAGTTTGAAATCAGTGATCTCCAACATTTTCCAGGTGGCGACACTTGAGTATACGACAAAGAACCGAACACTCCTTTCCCCACAATAATACATTGGGATTAAAATGTTAAAGTTCAAAATCCTGATAACTACAAGTAAAGATGCATTAAATTTTAAAATTACTTAACGCCCCTTTATTTCCTTGCACCCCTCCTCCCTCTACCCCCCCCCCCGCCCCCCAAACTTTTTTTTGTGTGTGGTGGTGGGGGGGGGGGGGGGGAACCACCTCCCCAGATAAAAGACCACTGCTCTATAGTGAAAAAGAATTTAAAAAAAAAAAGAGAGAATTACTTAAAGAAGCGTCACAAAAGAGATAAATGGCATGTAGTAGTCACAGCAAAAGACACAACACTACTTAAAAAAAAAAAAATGCAGGGTAAAGTTAAAGGTACGACAACAACAATACGCAGTCAAACAGCAATACAGGTGGAAAGATGTCTTCAAAAGAATGACTAACAGTGTTTTAAAGCTGGAGACACATTGCTGCCAGTCGTCGTTGTGGAAAAGGCACCTAACTGATTGTTTAATTACATTGAATATAGCAGAGCACACACAGTGTACACCATCTCAGGGTAATGATTATTGAGTTGAAAGTTGGCATCATAGAATACAGAACAGACAGATAGATGCTCTGTCTTCCGCAGCGAACCTCGTAATGTGTAGATTCTAACGCGTCCAGCTAGGTATTGTTGATTTGTGAATTATTAACATTTAATTCAATGTATATCCCCTTTTATGCAGCTTTCCAGTCGTGTAATACAAAAAGCAAGTCTAACTATACATTAATCTGTCTAATGCTAGAAGGGAAGTGGGAGGAGGGGCTTTTCTCAAGAGATTGAAGAGAATACTGACGTAAATGCCATTGTCATCAGATATGCTGTTTTTAGTGATCAGTTCCCCGTGTGGGTTCCGGGGCCCCATCATGGGGAGAACAAGAATAGACCCTCTGCCTACCCAAAAGCATGTCGTAAGAGTCGACTAATTGGGGACCTTCCTTTGAAGTCGGAGTGCATCTGCCTGAGAGGCAAGGAACTGTTGTGTGCTAAATGAGTCAGCACACTAACAAGTGTCTTAGCAGGTACTCTTCCGCTTCCTCTCTTAGAAATAGAACTCGACGACAATGACACCGTCATACATGTTTATTTAACAAGATACATAACACAAATGCAGAGACGTATTTATTCATCACAGCTGGCATTCGCACATCGTCCATTTGTCCTCACAGCTCTCTATCTCTCAATTTGTAGCGGTCTCTCCTTGACTACTACAGCTCCAAGGACTACAGCGTCCCACACTCTGGACGCGCCGTACATCTGAACAGGACGACTCCCATTCACTGGACCTTGATATTAATTCAGCATACAACACGGCTGACTGGAGACGGACTCCTCTTGCCGTACTCTGAAACCAGGTACTATCGTCCCCTGGACTTACTTTGACAGCGAGACCATATTTTCAGTACCGCAAACCCGACACTCACTCAGACCTAAATGCCTGATATTCTTACGGTATTCTAGTCTGTTAGACTTGCAAGAGATATCACGGACCCTGACTTGGTCTCTGACACTCGCTTTCTCTCTCTCTTCTCGCTTCTCTCTCGACTGCTTCTCGATTGCCTCCCAGTGGCTACTCAGCCCTCCAATTTATCCCCCTCAAATCCGTGTAGGTGGATGATGTCTACACGAGAGGCACGCTCGTATGGGCGTTCTCGTGAATCATGATCCTGTGGGTGTTCTCGGGACTCACGCTCATGTGAGCGTTCTCAAGGATCACACTTATGTGTGTGGCTGATGTTACCTGAAAATCACGCTGTCACTTAATTCACACTTTCTGTTTATCTCGTTATCAATGCTTTCAGCCCCCACACAGTACCCACGCGTCCACTTTCTCTCGTGCGTGCACGCCTTGTTCATGAATAGACATTTTCACTGGTCTCCCCTCAATACTCGGACCATGTTGAAACTATTTCCCCCGTGCACTTACAGGAAGTACAGGCATACCACTGTCCCTTTACACAACATCACACTTTACCCAAATCAGCGCGCAACAGGGACCAACAGTCTGGTTCAAGTGAATCAAATCTGTAAAACTGATGCACACGCAACACTCAGGTTCTAGAGCAGGACTGCAGTTCAGAAGTGGACGAACAACCAGAACTTTCCGATAGAGTGTACAGCTGGTGAACGCGAAGAAGAAGAAGAAGTGATCAGTCAGAGATAAAACATAGGAAAATACCACACAGGAAAACGATATAAACCATATGCTAGAGAATACATAAGAAAGTGCACTCAGACCAGGTGGAGTTAGGGTAATAAATAAAAGTTACTTGCGTATCCTTAACAGGGCGATTCAGAACCATCCCCAGCATTGGCTGTAGTGGTTTTTCTAGGCACATTTACGTCCAGTAGTGTGTCATTGCTTTCTGGACCGTTGGCTTCTTGAAACCACTGTCGAAAAAGCTTGGATCGGACCCGGCACCCCGTCATTACGAAGCGCGCTCGCAACACCCAAGCCACTGACACCGACATGAAGTTAGGTCACTTGAAGAGTTTAATTAATGAGGAACTAAGGGTAAATTAGGGTCGTGTATCAATATTAGCTTTGCAACAGCATCAGTTCCTGTGGAGTAGTACTCTCGGTTTTTTTCGTCGCTCCTTTCTCATTCACACAACCTTTCACATATTACTTGTGGCTAATATCGTTATCTTTTATCAGCGTTCGTTCAGTAACTAGTCTTAATTATGTCTCTCTTGCCAGTACCAGCGTTTCTGTAGCTCTCTCGTTTGTAGTGATCAACTGGTTTATGTGGGTTGTCAAGCAATAACACAAATCAAGTAAGTTGCTGTGTGGGTGTGCATGTGTGTGTATGTGTATGTGCGTGTGTCTGTGTGTGTACTCAAGTTGTGTGCATTCGTGAGTGTGTAAATGTATGTCTGTGTGTATGTGTGTGTATGTGTGTGTGTGTGTGTGTGTGTGTGTGTGATTGACGCAGCCAAGTACCGGTGCTGATCTAACAGCTGATAATAATTCTGACCCCAGTGTGTAAGCTGAGATAACACTGTCAACTAAAAAAAAAAAAACACAACTGATTTGCAGATGAAAGTAAGTCGAAATTAGTAATTTTATTGTTATGTTTTATTATTATTACTAATATTTTGCGAAGGATGTCAGTATAATTTCTAGCCCGCTGCAAATCGGGTTGAATGGTACTTGTTTAAAGGAAGTTAAAGAATGTAAATATCTAAGAAGTATATTCTTGGAGGACTGAAGAATAGATAGGACAAAAAAATATAAGATACCAACGAGACAGTGCAATTAAATACCAACTGACACCGTTATTTTAACATCCAAACATAAGTATGAACGCCCAAAAAAAGAGATTATAAACAGCAAAATCATAACAACACTGTGCTACCAGTGCCAGCCTGGGATATTATCAAAGGCTAACTAAGTAAAATAACACATGAAATTAGAAGCCTGTGAAAAGCCTCAACCATCCGAGACAAAGTTAGAAATTATTTTTTTAGAAAGAACAACATCATGCAGCAAATGTATTGACAAACAGAAGATCAACTAGTTTAGTAAGAATTCAGCCAGAATAACTAACTACCAACGCAGGGGCTACACATGAACAGATCTGACATGAAACCAAGAGGCTGCCCTAAGAGAATATGGATTGATGTCATTAAAGAGCTTCTACATTGAAACGGAATGAAAATACCCATTGCTGTCCATCAAGAAATGGATCGCAAACTGTTTCTTCCCCTAAAGCTTAACAACAGAAGTGAAAATTGATGATGTTTATTACTATTATCAGCACAAGTCTGAATACATTTAAGATCACCTAATAGGATCTTATCTAATTTTCTAGTAGTGTAGCTGTAAATATCATCCTACCTGTACACTCAATTTGCAGTTAATGTTCGATACTGTTGAGGCACAAGGTGGAAGAGAAGAAGAAAAAGAAGAAGAAGAAGAAGAAGAAGAAGAGGAAGAAGAAGAAGAAGAAGAAGAAGAAGAAGAAGAAGAAGAAGAAGAAGAAGAAGAAGAAGAAGAAGAAGAAGAAGAAGAAGAAGAAGAAGAAGAAGAAGAAGAAGAAGAAGAAGAAGAAGAAAAATAAGAAGAAGAAGGAATATTTTATACGCTGTCTAGCCACGCAATACGACCAACAATTGTGCCTGTACCCTATACGCGCAATGCTAGATATGGCACATAAACCTAATTTTTTTTGCTACTTAATATATAATTAATAAACCACTTACTAAGGACCGAGAATCGCTGTGGATTCTGATTACTGAAATTCTCTCGTTAGATTCCTCTAACTAGGTCTGAACTGTGTCATTGTGATTGCTATGCAACAAACTACACAAGTTGAGAACACCAAGCATTGTCATCTTGCAGGTAGCCGTTAAGTACAAATGGAGAACTTTCCTTATGTGAGTGTACTTGTTTTCCTGGGTGTTGCCGGTCAGTACCCACATTACCCGCCGCAGAATGATTGTCCGTATAAGGTAAACATGGCGTTGTCTTTGTCTTTTTTATAATCATCATTTTTATCATCAACCGCACATGTACATATAGTTATGTAGTATGTTTGCGTTCTTGAATGCATGCATCTGCCATCACTTCATTTGGGTTGTACTTGATATTCATTTCATGTGTTTTGTTATGTGAACATGTCCTGGGTGTACCAACTGGAGCCGAGAGACAAAAAGAGGACCCGTTCTTTCATCAACCATAACCGACTGTCAATTGTTAACCTAAAAACACTTGAGGACAGACTCAGCAGGAGTTGGGAGCACTTGTGTCTGACATACGGTGATGATGATCTCTAGAAATGAAGAATGAAAAAAGTTATGAGAACATTACATGTTTTATAGGTAAAAAAAGCCTTGCTCTAGTTAGTTAACCGACATATTATCCTCACTGTACACAAGACAAGTTCAAAAGTACTCGAATCCAATCTTTAGAATATCCCTCAGCGTGCGGCGACTGATAACACCGTTTCTATTTTGATTTTCTAGTCTATCTGTAGTGTTCCGGTCTGGCGACACCTCTTTTTACCTCAAGTTCTTGCAGTCTTTTGAGTGTTGCCGATTCAAAGTTGTCCCCTGAATTATCCTCTGCCCCATTGAGAGCATTAGGAAGTCCGACTCGGTCCATTGCTTTTCCTGTATCTACCGTGGCCCTGCCAGCAAGCCAATCATTTCGTTCATTACGTCAAACCAGCGGCCCTCTGTTTTAATATATTTCCAAGACTTTTTCGGTTCAGATGTACCACACCTTGTAGCACCGGCGAAAATGCTTTTACAAAAATTGACTTCCTTTATTACTTTTGCATCTCACTAACTAAAACAATGAACAAATTGCTCTGTGAAAGATGAGTATCTCGAAGTGGCCAATGTAAGATACTGAGCGGCTGCTGCTGCTGCTGCTGCTATCGACTATTCCTACATTTGCTGCACCAGATAATACTAAATAGAAGACAACAATCAGTTTCATAACATACCTAACTACATCATTACGTTTTAAGAGCACGCCTCGGGCACTCTTTACAGCTCAGGTTACACATCCCTTTATTAAATGTTCGATTTATTTGTTGGCAGGAATGCTTCTGTGTCGGAAATGAAATGCTGTGTAATTACCGATACATGAAGGCAGTTCCACAAAAGCGTAACAACACAAGCCTGAATATGGGAAGCATTGACTTTGGAGTAAGTATGTTTTAAACACTTTTTTTTTTTTTTTGCTGTGCTAGGCATCTATATATGAATGAATAGTCTGCTATGTAGTCTGTCTAGCTAACACTATCTATCTATCTATCTATCTATCTATCTATCTATCTATCTATCTATCTATCTATCTATCTATCTATCTATCTATCTATCTATCTATCTATCTATCTATCTATCTATCTATCTATCTATCTATCTATCTATCTATCTATCTATCTATCTATCTATCTATCTATCTATCTATCTATCTATCTATCTATCTATCTATCTATCTATCTATCTATCTATCTATCTATCTATCTATCTATCTATCTATCTATCTATCTATCTATCTATCTATCTATCTATCTATCTATCTATCTATCTATCTATCTATCTATCTATCTATCTATCTATCTATCTATCTATCTATCTATCTATCTATCTATCTATCTATCTATCTATCTATCTATCTATCTATCTATCTATCTATCTATCTATCTATCTATCTATCTATCTATCTATCTATCTATCTATCAGTCTATCTATCTATCAGTCTATCTATCAGTCTATCTATCTATCAGTCTATCAATCTATCAGTCTATCAATCTATCAGTCTATCTATCTATCTATCTATCTATCTATCTATCTATCTATCTATCTATCTATCTATCTATCTATCTATCTATCTATCTATCTATCTATCTATCTATCTATCTATCTATCTATCTATCTATCTATCTATCTATCTATCTATCTATCTATCTATCTATCTATCTATCTATCTATCTATCTATCTATCTATCTATCTATCTATCTATCTATCTATCTATCTATCTATCTATCTATCTATCTATCTATCTATCTATCTATCTATCTATCTATCTATCTATCTATCTATCTGTTTTTTTTCTTTATATATATATACACACATACATATATATATATATATATATATATATATATATATATATATATATACAATGATATACATATATATGAGTGTATGTGTGTGTTTGTCTGTAAGCTCTCTCTCTCTCTCAATCTCTCTCTCTCTCTCTCTCTCTCTCTCATTCTCTCTCTCTCTCTCTCTCTCTCTGATAATCTTTATGTCTAGCCTTCTTTCTAGTTGACTTTCTGTCTGTGGAGTTTCTAGTTCTTTAAATGTTGAGTATTCGCTACGATGTGTCAGATTTCCTGACCCTTAGTGATTGTTAACACGCTTGCGTGCCCTTATGCACTAACCGTTTGGGATGCCATGAACATGCCTCAGAAAATCGCAACGGGTAATCTACGCTCCAGATGGGTAGAAATCATTCGGAAGTCGCGTTTAACCCCCATCCTTCGGATCTGCACACCTGGATACGTAGGAGTAAAAGGTAATGAAAGAGCTGCTCAACTGGCAAGTAATGCACCAATGCAAATGGAAAGAAGCATGGGCAGAGCTGATATCACCAATGCTGTATGGGCTAGGCTATGGGAGGGGGGAAGGGAGAGGTGGGGGTAACGTTTAATCTCTGACACTAGCACCAGTGAGTGCCCGAGGGATTAAGCTTGTGAAGCATCTGTATGCTGTCTTCGATGTAAAAACGGGTGAGACTATAACCCCCCTCCCCCCTCATACAAACAATTTGTAGAGGTATCTTGGATTGGCTGCTGCATTAGAGGACTGTGCACCCATGAGGATACCCAAAGTGCCAAAATGTCGTTTGTGAAAACAAAACATAATGTTGTTGTTCGTCTATCACGAGCGATGAAGACCACTTTTCATGCAAAGTAGTAATGATCAATAATTCTGAGGACGAAAATGGCTGATTAGTTAAATAAGAGCCTGGGAAGTTCATGAGCAGTGCGGACAGCAGATGGAAGCGGCAGTACGTGTGGGATTAGCGTTACGGTACTTTACAGTCTGCACCTTTTCTCTGCCTCTGCCACATCCACTGCCTGGCAGGCTGATGAACTCATGACTTAGGAATGTATACCATCCAGAACGGTTCTGTGCAGCAGCCTCCTACGTCGCGGTGTTTATGCCACAAGAGTTGATTGCAGTCTTGAGAGAGTCCTTATAGAAATTAGTCTGTCCACCCTGGGACCTCTTCCCTTGCTGGAGCTCGTTATAATATACTATGTTTTTTTTTTTTTTTTTTTTGCTTGATTCAAAACACACTTTGCTTTTTCTGACCTACTCTGCTGCTAGATGTATTTATCGGTTCCAACTACCGTTCTATTACTCGCATAGTTATTTGGGAGGGTTGCATGGTCTAGGACTATCGCTGACCAACAACAGCTTGACATCTGTCACTAAGCGTGATGCTGACCACATCATCCATCTTGTGACGATTGGTCTATAAAAATATAGGTCTAGCCCTATATGCCCTATACGCCTAAAGGCGTGCAAAAGGGACCTTTTACATCGTCTAGAGGCATGGTGTCTGCCTCGAGTGATGGAGGTTTCTGGTTCAATCGCCGTTAAGGTTTGGGATCTGTCACATGGATTTCTAGTTATTTTCCCCTGGTCTCTGTGTAAAAAGACCAAATGCCCGTGTGTATTGTTGAGCTTGTAAAAAATCCCTTGGCAGTTTGAAATCGAAAAAAGTACCTAACGGCGCTGCCCGGGCAAAATTTGAAGATAAGAATCTAACCAAAGTATTTTAGGATCCTCGCAGGCGCACTGCGCTGACATTCTTTGCACTCAGGCTTGTAAGAAGAAGAACAGGCACTTATGGGTTTCACTCATGTGCCATGATGTTGATCGGATAAAATAAACAGAAACATAGTTATTTGGTATCAAATTGTACAGGGCTCTTTGTCGGACTTCTGGAGGTGGAGAGTAAAGGAGCACAGATGCTAAAACAAGTTTTATTTCCTTCATTAAGTGCATTTATGTTTCTGCTTTTTTTCATCAGGGAAATTTGATAACCACGATACCCGCTAGAAGTCTGCCTGCGAATCTGTCGAAGCTCTCCCTTGAGAGCAATCCTATTGAAACTATCGACATTACCGCCTTTGATGAGTCCATCAACACCCTGAGTTCTTTAAGTCTGTCCGGTGCAAGGTTTACCCAACTTCCAGAAGCCATATTTCGCTTGAAACATCTTACAGAACTGGATTTGTACGGAATAAACATCCTTACGTGGAATGACACCGGTATGAGAGGACTTGGTACCACACTGCAGACACTTAATCTTGGCGCAGTTGGTTTAACGTCATGGCCTGGTTGGCTAAAATCATTCTCACATCTCACAGAGTTAAGTGTTACTAGCAGCTCTATCTCCATCCTACCAGACGATGCTCTGGATATGGTAGCTACTATCTTGACTGAACTATCGCTGACCAACAACAGCTTGACATCTGTCCCTAAAACGCTATCAAAGATGACCGTTCTGACCTCATTATCGCTGGACCAAAACAGAATCAAGGACATCACTTGGCTTCCCCAGTTGTGTAACCTGACACATCTGACCCTGAACGGCAACCACATTTCCAAGGCCAAGAAGCTCAGCTCCGCTTTACGTTTCTATGCCGACACTATTTACTACTTTCAAATCAATGACAATTTTCTTGCATCGATTCCCGACATGTCATTCTTAAAACTGATAACAAGTCTAGACTACACGAACAACCATATATCTGACCCTTACTCTGGAGTTATCCCTTCAGATCTGACAGACCTGCAGCTTTCAAACAATTTATTGCCGTCCATCCCTCGCATTTTCAAAACTATGAACTCTGTACCCAATCTAATTCTAGGATTCAATCGTGTATTGTCTGTTCAAGCATCAGATTTTCCTATTGCAACGCTAACAGTTGATCTTGAGCATAATATCATTGTAGAACTAACAGATTCCAGTTTTCCTGAGAACTCTAACATTATCTCATTAATTCTTCGATTTAATCCCATTTCTAAGATTTCTAAATCCGCCTTTGACAACCTTCCTCGGTTACAACAGTTAGATATACAGCACACGAAACTAACTCGGCTGCCTCTGGCTATAGAGTCACTGACCCAGTTAAGCTCTATAGATGTGAGTGGCAGCACTGACCTAGTCTGTACTTGCTTGGAGAAGAGTTTGGAGCGGATAATCTCCCAATTGTCGTCTTACAGTGTCGCCGGGGATTGTGGCCAAACTAGTTTGTACATCTTCTTTACAGAACTTAGTCCTAGCTGCCCTCCCATGTAAAGAAATGATTCTGATCATTTTGGACACACATAAACACTTTCAGGACGTTATAATATATCAAGTATCCTCTGTGTTGCACACTGTCTTCCATATGTGTGTTGTAATAATGCTGCTCGTACTTTCAGTCGTTCTTAATTTTTTTTTCATGGGTTCCGATCTAGGGTTTCCACATTCTAGCTAGAAGCATTTCTACATATGACTACCAACTTGTAAATAAACACAACTAATATGAACGACGCATGATGGCTTGTGAAGCAGCTGCTCATACATGATATGACTGTAAAGGGCCATGATCATAACAGACTCACGGTGCCTGATGACAAAGGGGGCGACAATAATGTTTCGCACAGTGATTGCAAGTCTCGGAAAGTGACTGCTTTATCAAATATATTCAGCATGCAATGCTTGTGTATTTGGAAAAGAACAGACAGACACACTAGCTGGTTCTCCGCTGTCTGATAGTTACTTGACGAATTGCTAGGCATGTACGGTCAAGCGATGTCTTCAATAGGAGCAGCAGCAGTTCGGCTGGTATAATTATCAGTCACCTGGTCTTTTACAGAACGTCTCGGCATGTATAAAAGTATATCTGTCTCTAGCCAATTCTCTAGTGCTATGCGCTTACATAGCTGATATCACCACCTGCCAAATACAACACAAAATCTCGATGGGGCTCCAGCACTGATTTCTGGAGACAAAAGCATAGACCCACTGCTCTCCAGTCCGTGATCAACCATGTCGTAAATTGTGATTAATTAGGGTTCTACAGATATCATAAGTGCTGGCATGAAAGTCGTAGATATCGCAGCATAGCTGTGAAACACAATACAGTTAGCTAATTGCAGTTTTAAGGCGAACGCAGAAGTAGGCTAAAACAAAATGTGCTTGTTGGTTTGTTTTATTTGTATGCGAAGGCTAGAGCATGTCTATTTTAAAGAACAGCGAACACATCATTTTATTTTTGGAGACGCTGGTACAACAGTTAGCGACCAAGGAGCGGGTCTCTTTGACTCAACATTTAGAGCTAAATGGCAAGGCTGGCAGAAAATCAGAAGGCTCATCATCATCATGTGACCTGCCAGCTGGCGTAGGCGCTCATGCGTCTCCGTAGATCACGATCTGCCTGGAACAGCTCTCTTGATGATATTCCTCCATGCCATCGTTTCAGCCGAACTAGCATAATCTCTCTTGGTCTGCCTCTACCCCTTTTCCCACTGATCTTTCCAATTGTCACAATGTTTTCCACTGCCTCTCTTCTTATTACGTGGCTAAAGAACAGTGTTTTTTACTTTCTTATTGTTGTAGCTTCTTTCAAGCAATCGTTTAAGTTCATAATCAGATGGATACTGAAATAAAAAATATCCGAACTCTGTACTTGTTGCTGAACATGGTGATTGAGGCGTAAACGAATTTACAGAATGATTTGGCGACGTCTCTAAACTTAAGTCAATTGCACACAATACAAACACTCGAAAAAGACAATTACAGGCACAGATAATTCAGATGGAGTATAAATGAAATGAGATGCATGGTATGACAACGTGTTAAAATATTCGAAAGTATAATAAAAGATGTAATATGAATGACATTTTGTACAAACAAAGCTGATCAGCATGCGTGTTTAAGAGTAATCATTCATTTGTTAAATTAAATCGATGAATTTACGTACAGGGTATATTATCTCTTTTAATACCTCTTATCTATAAAATTAAAGTATATGTTTTTCAACATTTCCTATGCCTCGATCAAAAAAAATCAAACATTTCTTATAGTATGAGTGCTGAGGATCGTCGCTAAAACTATTAAATTAGTTCTGTGTGTGACGCTTTCACCAGGCAGCTAGCGCTGTTTGCAGAAAGATACAGAACCATATGGGACAAATCCCAGTGTGGTGAAGGGGTCCTGATGACTTTGATTTTAAGCTTAACTGTAAAGTAAAGGATACTTTCCACACCTCCAAGCTAACTAGGCATGTCAGGCAAGACCTATATTTTATGAACGGCAATAGGTGGGTGACGCCGCCAACCGCTGGCTCTCATACCATTTCCCAGTACTGATTTGATGCTGGATAGACCTGATAGCAAAAGTATCGATGTGGATTCAAACACAGGGAATTGAAACCATGTATGAGCCTCCATTCACTGAGATACCTGGTCTCCTCATCGCTCGTGGGACCTAACAAACGATTTTTCTCACATATGTCTTTCTCTATAGTAGTCTTATCTGAATGCATTTTTGTTGTTGTTGTTGTTGCTATGTTAGGATATACGTTTTGATTCTTCCTATTTCTTTGTGTTGAGGTTATTAAGTTATCTATACCAGTCTGTGATATATATAGCAGTAATGTATCATCGGCAAATGGGTTCTCCGGTATTTCATGACCACTGATATTTAAGGCATCATTTTGCTCTCTGGTTTTTTCATCTTTGACATCTCTCAGTATTTTTTCGGTGTACAACAAATAGGGTGACAGCCAGCACACAGTCCGTATATGGTGTCTAGTATTGCAATATGTGCAGAATTTCCACGCCAGTCGGCAGGGCACTTGTTAAGGATGATCATATTAACTGTTTATAACGACTACTTACATCTGCTTTATATATGTTCATAACAGGGAATTTTTTTAAATTCCGTTATTACAGAGGAATTGACCCTTAACCTGCATAATTTCAGCTGTGTGTTGACAAGGCAGATGTGGTCAAGATCCGTTGGGAACAAGCACAAGAATCATTAGAGAAACAAGATTATTATGGCCTGGAGAGAATAAAGAAACTAGGTGTAATCAAAGGGTCTGGCCGGCTCACTACACTGAGAAAAGGCAAGACATATAACCAGATTGTAAACGGTACCATCAGTATTAGAACTGCGCTGGCTGCTGAAGATGAGGACGGAGAACGCATGGGAATGCCCCGAGTGTTGTAATGTAAACTGTTGACTCAACTCAACTCAATTGTGTGAAATTACGACATGTGTCACTTATCTAGATATAAGTGATAGGACATCCCATCATAGTTCGTGTCGCACCAAAGCCTATAAACAGACTTGCATAATTAAACGATTCAACCTTAAAGAGTAACTATGAAAATTCGTACAAAAGTAATGTTTAAAAAAAATCTTGGAATATTTTTTTTTATAACTGTGATGTAAATGTCACCATCATTATCAGGTAACACTGCGTGTCGTTGGGTCACCAGATGTTGCTGGCTTTTTGATGAGATCACCTTTATCTTTGAGGGCCTGATTGCTATGGTTTCATCGTTGCACGTCTAAGGCCTGTCCAGTCACTCAAATTCTGTATTCAGGTCATTCTGGATCTGCCTGTTCTCCTCTTCCCCTCTCCCAAAGCCAGAAGTAAAACTTTCGAGACGCCTTTAAATCATATTACGTGTGATGTAAATAAAGTAAACAACAAACAAGAAAAGTAAAGGTCCATATCCCACGTCTTTAGGCGTTTTAGATTGTTGTCCAACAATGTCCGAAAGCGTGGTTAATATTGACATACGTGTCCGTAGTCTGTAATTGTACCCTTTCAGGTATATTTAATTTTAGCTTGGCATCTGAATCCTTTACATACCATTGCATGCATATTTATATCACTAGACGCCCGCGTGCGGATCAGAAGGTCGTGGGATCGCTTCTTGGCGGAGCCGAACCGTGTTTTTTTTTAATCACCTTAAATCCCAGGTCGACATAGCCTTGGGTGGGTACCGGGTTCGGGAAGTAAAGGCGGCCGACGTGATGCAGACTACCTCACCCATCTTGCCCAGATCGGTCTAAAAAAAATATATGTCTATCCTTATATGACCTATAAACCTAAAGGCGTGGAAAAGGAACCTTCACTTACTCTTACAGTTTAATCTTACAAAATAATAGTAATAGTGAGAAACATATTTTTCACCACCAGCAAATGTAAACATATAAAATGTACTGTTTTCTTGAGCCACAACATATCTATTCTTTCTGTTGTATACAACTTAGAGATAAGAAAAACTGAATCTGATACACATGTGTCAAAAACAATTTCACATATATTTTGTTACATAGTCTATAAGTATGGTAAGTCTACTGTAACTGTCTATTCATAGTAGCTTGAGTAGAAAACCGCGTAACAATGTTTACAATACAAATTCATCCCAGTTGTGTGGGAATCTTACAATACAACGTAGCTGAAAGGTAAGTAGATATACTGCACATTTAATAACAGACAGGCATACACACAAATAGATTTACAGACAGTCAGGTAGACAGACAGATAGACGGCGCAGGGATAGCTAGACAGACAGACAGACAGACAGACAGACAGACAGACCGACCGACCGACCGACAGACAGACAGACAGACAGACAGACAGACAGACAGATAGACAGATAGACAGATAGATAGATAGATAGATAGATAGATAGATAGATAGATAGATAGATAGATAGATAGATAGATAGATAGATAGATAGATAGATAGATAGATAGATAGATAGATAGATAGATAGATAGATAGATAGATAGATAGATAGACAGATAGACAGATAGACAGATAGACAGATAGACAGATAGATAGATAGATAGATAGATAGATAGATAGATAGATAGATAGATAGATAGATAGATAGATAGATAGATAGATAGATAGATAGATAGATAGATAGATAGATAGATAGATAGATAGATAGATAGATAGATAGATAGATAGATAGATAGACAGATAGACAGATAGACAGATAGACAGATAGACAGATAGACAGATAGATAGATAGATAGATAGATAGATAGATAGATAGATAGATAGATAGATAGATAGATAGATAGATAGATAGATAGATAGATAGATAGATAGATAGATAGATAGATAGATAGATAGATAGATAGATAGATAGATAGATAGATAGATAGATAGATAGATAGATAGATAGATAGATAGATAGATAGATAGATAGATAGATAGATAGATAGATAGATAGATAGATAGATAGATAGATAGATAGATAGATAGATAGATAGATAGA